TTTGCACTCTAGAGCCCTGAAAAAGATTCAGCATTGCACGTGATACATGCAACGCATTAAAGCAGCTTTCTCCACCCTTAAAATAAAGTACATCCAGTAAGAACTTAGAGTCACACAGTGGGTGCTAAAAAGGAAGTGATCGCATTAAAAGCATCTCTCTGATATTCAGACTGGTCATTTATTTATCCAGACAAGATGAAGACTGCATGGTTCTCTTTTCTCCGCTTCGGTGAGTCAAACACAGAACGCTTTCATTACAGGTCTGACACACAGTCAACGAAGGAAACAGATCTAGAGCAGACAAGTATTCACAAGTGCAAAGACTTTAGTGAGAGTGAAGCTAAACTTCAGACTTTAAACTTTAGCAGGTTTACAGTTAGTAAATATGCACACTGCCATAGATGCATTCATTTCACGTTTAGATTTTTTATCCAACACATTATTCACATCATGTCAGATACATTCTGCTGCAGGACAGTTGTCTCGAACATTCAGTCAGATTCATTCACACAGTTCTAATCTCACTATCTGGGAGCTTCTAGAGGCATTTTGTCGAGACTCATAAAGGATCGTCCAATGGAGAGCGCTATCGAGACCCGCATTCATAGGTTGTTGTTTGCCATTACATGACAAACATGAATGTCATCATGACATTATAACTACCAGGAATTTGGGATAGCAATAGCCATAGCTGTCTTTTTTTGTATTGTGGGTTTTATGTTATTAGTATTGGAAAAGGTGAGATTGAGTCACAAGAAGTGTCAAGCCCAGCACATAACAGTGGTGTGATGCGTGAGTCGACATCATGTGCATGTCAGGTACAGCGCATCCTAAAAGTATTCTCAGTACTTCACTTGTTCCACATTTCTTTCATGTTATAGCCCTTTAAAAAAGATATTAAACACAATTTCACCTCTAAATTCTGCACACAGTACACCAGAATGACCGAGTGAAAAAAGTTGGGTTGAAATATTTCCAAATGTATTTAAAATAAAAATATAACATGTACAAAAGTACGTATTTTTCGGACCATAAGGTACACCGCATTATAAGGCGCATTAACCGAAACAAAACAGTCAGATAACTCTAACTTTACTCAACTCATTCTTCTTGCTTCCTCCACTTCTGTACCATTGATTCATTAATGTTGAATTCTCTGGCAGCTGCTCTATTCCCATGTTGTTGCAGTATATTAATGACTAACCTCGTATTGTGGATGGATTATCTCAGTTGTTCTTCTGAATGAAGTTTGGTCCGTTTATAACATCCTTGCATTGTCGCTGATCATCGAGAACCCTCATGTTAACTTTTATGAAGTGGAAAAAAGTTAGCGTTCATCCTCAAGATTCACCATGTTTATGCTAACATAGCTGTGTTGTTAGCAATCACGTAGCACATCATTAAATACCAACTTGTCCAACTTTAATAACCCTACAAAAGTCACTGCTGTTTAGTTTTCTGTCTCATTTATGTTGGAGACAGAAAACTGCTGGTATATAGTTTGAAGTCCACACTTTCAACCCAAGTTCTAATGGAGAGTCTGGGTCACTCTGGGTCACCTCGTGTAATGGCGACTCTGGGCCTGGACTACTGCGGAGTAGTCTATGCCCAATCGGAGTAGTCACAGCAGAGCTATCACCGGGCCAGCCAGGGAAGGCGCTGGCCCATATAGTGGCTGAGCTCCCAACCATCCAAAGGGAGCAGTGATATTATGTTCAGTTTTGCTTCCCCTGTCTTTCAGTCAGATTAGTATCAGTTGCGTTCCCACCTGTGTTCTATTCCCTTGCCGTACTTTTTGTCTATATATTGTCGGCTTTTCTCTCTGTTCTCTGTCGCTCCTACCTGTTCCTTGTCAATTGTCACAATGGATTGAACAGACAAAGACACAGCTTTGAAACTGTGCCCACCATCAGAAACAATGTCCTACAGGATGCCATAGATGGAAGAAGTAGGTCGTGGGCACTGGGCAGCTAGGTGGTCTCCAGGGTAGACAGGAGCTTAGTGAGCGCCACAAAAACAATAGACAGTAGTCAAAATAGTGTTGTTACCTGCAGACGGAGGAAGGCCGCTTACGAAATCCAATGCTATGTAAGAGCAAGGCCATGTCAGGGATGGCAGAGGTTGTAATAGGCCGCCATAGGGTTGGTTTCCGTGTTTATTCTAGGCAGAGGTTGCACAGACTCAAACGTATTAATGGTTGCTTCGAGGCACAGATGGCCAACAGAAATAACATCGGAGAAAGATAATAGTGTTGTGGATACCATGATGAAATGGGCAGTGTAGTGCCCGAGGACAGACACATGTCGGGCTTGTAGGTATCCTAGATTTCTATGTTTTGTTTTGTTTTTTTCATTTTTATGGTTTAACGGTCCAGATGATGAAAGGTTGAACTGTGCCCACCAGCCAGTGCCTCCATACTTCCAAAGTGAGTTCCCACTTGGCACTGACCACTTGGTGTCTGTCAGATAGAAAGTTAAAGATCCAGCTGCAGAGCGATCCTAGATCCTGCAGTTTCCTTTTCAGCTTCGAGGGAACGATGGTATTGAATGCAGACCTGTAATCTACAAACAGCATTCTCATACGTGTCTCTCTTCTGCAGGTACGAGAGGGCAGTATGTAGTGTCAGGGCTATGGCATCATCAGTTGTCACTGTATGCAAATTGTAGATGGTCCACTGAGTCAGGTAGTACAGAGCATGCGGTACACAACAGCTGTAGCTGCTTATGTCATGGTTACTAGGTAACAGAAACCACGGGTCGTAGGCTAGACCATCCAATTTCACAGCCTTGCCCTTCTGGTCTACAGGACCTTTGAAGAACTAAGTCTTTGTAGGCCGGGTCCTGCCGGGTCACAAAGTCAGTAACAGTAGTTTGTAATAATTAATTCATCCCTCAGTTCATCATTAATATTATTTAGCAGGGTACCTCTCCATCCACTCCCCCAGCCCGTTTCTCCTGCCAGGATCCAGAAATTTATGGAGTAGTCAGTCATACTACTCACTTAGACGTGTGGTCAGACAACAACTGCACAAAAAACTATTTTTGGCCCATCTTCCTCAAACACGTCTCTGTTGCTGAAACACCAGCGAGCACCGAGTTAAAAAAAACCACACATTTATTTAACTCACCTGAAATCGCACATCCACACTTCCTCCGCTCACACATGCTCCTCTTCTGCCACTCGTGCTTTCACTGCACTTCACACTGCCACACTCAGGGGTCCAGGGAGAGGTTCTCAGACAAGTCTGGGAATCTTTATACAAAGACAAGTGTTAATATGAGCCAGAAATATACAACGAGCAAAGTTTAGCCGAGGCTGCATGAACTCAGGGTGTTCAACGATCCAGCGATGAGACACTCTGAGCCACAAACCCTGAATACTGGCCAAGGAGACAGGACTAGTCAGAGCAGGTGCATCAAAGGCCGGAGCCCAATATTGACATCCGCCCAGGCAGGGAGGAGACAGCGAGGAGAAGAGAGAGGGAGAGAGAAAACAAAAACAATTCTGCAGCCCAATGTGAGTCAGCCGGAGAGACTCGGGGACATTGATGCAAAGGTCAGACTTCCTAGTTTTGTTATTTTGCACTTATTTTAGTTTGTTAAAGCCAATAATTAGTTCAGCATTCCCGTTTCTGAGTTCACATTTAATAATAATAATGGATTGCATTTATATAGCGCTTTTCAAGGCACCCAAAGCACTTTACAATACCACTATTCAGTCACTCTCACATTCACACACTGGTGGAGGCAGCTACAGGTGTAGCCACAGCTGCCCTGGGGCAGACTGACAGAAGCCAGGCTGCCATATCGCGCCATCGGCCCCTCTGGCTAACACCAGTAGGCAAGTAGGGTAAAGTGTCTTGCCCAGGGACACAACGACCAGGACAGAGAGCCCAGGGATCGAACCGGCGACCTTCTGGTTACAGATGCGATTCCCAATCCCCTGAGCCACGGTCGCTCATTTGGGTCTTTCCTCTGCCAGCCACACAGCCACCATGGCAGAACTTGACCTCATTATGGACCCAGCAGACTCACATTGTCTCCTGAGGAAATGTGTGCCCAGCTTCAGGGTTGCTGTCAGAGCGTGGTTTATTTAAAGACCTTTTCAACAGACACTTGCAAGTTAGTTTTCTTGATGACTTCCTGTCGTCCACAACCTGTTCTGGGACGTTTCCCAACATGGAGTGTTTGGCTCAAGATGAACAAACCTCCATTTTGAACTGTTTCTGACCTTTAGTGACCTCTGAATTTTAGTGACCTCTGACCTTTAGTGACCTCTAACCTTGTGACCTCTGACCTTTAGTGACCTCTGTCCTCCTGTTGCAGGTGTGTGTGTGCTGCTGCTGTCTGCACCGACTGTTTCTGCAGGTGAGGAGATGGAGTGAAAACAATCAGTGAGACTCCAACAAGAACACAAATACACTTACTCTGTGTGTGTGTGTGTGTGTGTGTGTGTGTGTGTGTGTGTGTGTGTGTGTGTGTGTGTGTGTGTGTCCTCCAGTGTCTCTGTCTGTCAGTCCAAACCTTCAGCAGGTCTTCAGAGGATCTCCTTCAGTGTATCTGAGTTGTGTTGATGATGGACAGACAGCTGATGGATGGACAGTGAAGAGGACCAGAGGAGGACTCACTGAGGACTGTGGAGCAGCTGGGTCAGACTTCAGTAGGATTAACAGTTCCTTCTGTGCTCTCGATCTCAGTCTCTCCACTGGTGGAAATTTCCTGTGTGTAAGCTCATCTGGACATCAGAGTGAAGAAGTCTCCATCAGTGTCTCAGGTACAGACAGATGTTCCAGCTGTGTCTCTGTTTCTGTCTGTCTCTGTGTCACTCTGTTTGCGTCTCTGCTGGACAGACAAAGGTGTGATCCTGGAGATTCCTGCACTTCCTGTCATGACAGGAAGTGATGTCACTTTGTGCTGTACACCCAAAGAGGGAGAAAGACGAAAGTCTTACTTTGTCAGAGATAATGTTACACTTGGATCTGGACCTGAAGGAAAGTGGATTCTCTCTAACGTCCAGCGGTCTGATGAAGGTCTCTACTGGTGTCATACTGATATTCATCCACCTTCTCCTCAGAGCAGACTGAGGGTCAGAGGTCAGGGCACTGACATCATTTCCTGTTTAAAGACAAACTAACCTGCTGACCTGATAATGAACTGACTGAACCATCTTCATCATCTCTCCTGCAAATCCTCCTCCTCCTCCACCCACTACAACCTCATCTCCTGCTTTCTTATTCTTTGGTATTACATCTATAGTAGACTCCCCCTCCCCTCGTTCTTCTGCTCCCCCCATCACCCCTCTTCCTCCCCCTCCCTCTATGTCAGTGCTCAGACTCGTCTTGCACCTGGTGGTCTTCTGTCCATACGTGGCCTGCACTGCTCTGCTGCTGTCCATCTTCGCCACCAGCTCAGGTAGATATGAACAAAGTCTCTCTAATCACTCACTTCAGTGCTCCATCCTTAAGTCTTAACCCTGCCCACAGGTAACACACCTGTCATTTCCATGGAAACGAGCCATCCTGCTGTACAGGATGATGTCACCACTGAGCATCACTTCTGACCTCTGAGCTGACAGGAAGTGAAGGAGCTGGAGCAGCTGGGACGTTCCTGTTTCTGACCCAGAGTCAAACCTGTGGTCTGTAAAGACTCCTCAGTCGGATCTTTGAGTCAGTCAGCTTCTCAGTGAACTGGTCAGCTGTTGACTGGATGGATACAAACATTAACCTTGTGCTTTTATGTGTTTAATGCTTCAAGTGATCAGAAAATGCATTTTTTAGTATGTGTTATACTGTAAGGTCAGATCAGACAACTGGTATGATCAAGCACTTTGTGAGAGCGGGAATGAAAAGCTGAACTGATCAGTGATTGGATCAAACAGTCTCTGAGTAAGACCTGACTCTGTTTCTGTGTTGATTTATGCTTTAATAAAACATTCGAACATTACAGAGCAGATACTTCAGTGACATGAACAGTGACTGAAGTGATTCAGGAGTGTGAACTCTGGCTGATGATGAACTATGGCATTTATTAGGGTTTATTGTATGCTGATGAGGTTAGCCTGAGAGCGCTAACAGCAGTCTGAGCTCAGCCACAGCCTTAGAGTGTGAGCACCAATAAGCTGTGATGGAAACGGGAGCAAACTGAACATAGTCAAACATCACAGACACAGAGCTGATCCTATCGTGTAGGATCGGGAAGTGGAATCACACAAGGAAACAGCTGACACGGATGCATGATGACACCACAGGGCAAGAGTAGAACTAAGCACACTGAACAAGGGAAACAAGACCTTTCAAAATAAACCTGCAGAGAACAGGACATGACCCAGACTAGACAATATGAGAACGGACGGAGAATACATGACACAAAAGACCAGGACACACATACACCAGGTGACATGAAGAGTCTCATAAGAACTCAAGGCAATAAATATTAATACTAAGACTTAACATTAGGGATGGGTACCGGTGCTCGGTGCCATGATTAAAGTGTGTGCGTGTGAGTCCCCATAGGGAAATAGTTCTTCTGCATTTAACCCATTCACCCAGTGAAGCAGTGGGCAGCCACCAATGCAGCGCCCGGGGAGCAGTGTGTAGGGACGGTACCTTGCTCAGGGGTACCTCAGGGTAGCCGTTCAGTGGAGTCGAACCCCCGACCTTCCGATCATGGGGCCACCACTCTACCTACTGAGCTATCCCTGCCCCATGATGGCACCGGTTCTGACATAAACGGTAGTAACCAGACCGAAAAGCAGCGCACATTTCGGTGCTTTTTTTTTCCTGAGCTATGATACACTTTAGATTCTAGCCAATCATTTTACGTTTCCGAGGATAGTAGGCGGGGCCAGGTACGTACGTTCTTATAGAGCAGAGCTACAGATTAAAAATGTCCAAGGCGAAGCGGTCTGGCTGTACTTCACAGCAAAAGATGCAAACTCAGCAGCAACAAGTGCTTTAAGCTGATACTGTGATGCTGTCAAAGGAGGTAACACCTCAAATCTGATGAAACACCCGGCGACGCATAGCGTTTTTTTTAAAAGCCCAGAAATGCGCCGTATTTGATAGCTTGCTGCGAGACCTCACACCGAGCACATCTACTGCGGGTGTGGTGCCTGTTATCAGACCCGGAGTTAGCAACATCCCCCAAAACCCGAAGAGGAGAGTCCTGGCCCCTAGCCCTGCCAGTGTAGCAGAAATGATGAGGATGATGATGCAGCAGCAGCCGTTCTTCTCTGCGTGAGTAGCTTAATGTTGTTCGTGTGTAATTTACGTTGAGTAGGCTAACCACGTTATTACATTAATGCATGTAAGGTGAACTAGCAAACATCATCATAGCTACATGCGGCTGTCTTCTTGTTTGATGGCAGATGCTCCCTTCACCCTGGCCAAAAAGGCTAAAATGACCAAAGGAAAAGAGGGAAACAGTTAAACATGAGAGGTTTTTGGACAAAGTTTGTGTTTTTTCCATTGTTTAAGCACTGCTTCCAGCCAAGAGTGATACCATATATGCCCCATAGCTGCAGAAAAGGCTAATATTGTTATCTTTTTACAAAAAACCAGCTGAACATGAGAGGTTTTTGGACCAATTTTGTGTTTTCCATTCTTTAAGCACCGGTTCGAGCACCGTTTAAGCACCGGCACCATTTCAAAAGTACCGGTTTGGCACCGGTATCGGTTTAAAACCTAAATGATACCCATCCCTACTTAACATTATTTCATAAATACTCCAAAAATACAAAATTACTCAACTAAAACCTTTAACTTAAAAACATAAGAAAACAATACAAAATAACACGAAGCATTACATGAAAGACAGCCCCTGACAACGTCTGATATTCATATCCTTAGTGTGAATAATTTCACTGTTTCCTCATGTTTGTCCTGCCAACTATGAGAAGTGACCAAAGACGAAAACAGGAACTTCTTACTGTGTCTAAAACTGAAAGAAGGAAAAGCGAATAACAAGCCGTCACCTCATTTGAACTGTTGAAATCTGAAAACATGAATCAAAACCATTCACACTGAGAACTGGACCTATGGTTTTACACCACCCAGGCCCTGATGGTGGGCCCATACTGTTGACAGCCTCTCTGATGGCTGCACGGTCAGTTGTATAGCTGGGCTTGGTTCACCGCTGTCATGGAAAACGTGTTACTGTGAAAACATGCTGACGTAACAGGAGGCCTGTTGTCACTCGCGGGGCGTAACATCCTGATGCTGTGTCACCTAGTGTACAATGTTACGCTTTGGGTGCGAGGACGTGTTGTAAGGGAACCAGAGGAAACATAGAAGCCTATAAAAACTTATTCCACGTACAGATCTGATCTGAAGACAGCAGAGCAGGTGACACGGACACTTTCATATAATGAGAAGCCAGAAGGAGACACGTGGCTGCTCAGTGATGGTGGTTTACTCTTCAACCACACATCTTCCTTATTCTGACTGAACCGACCAATCGGGAGGTCGGAGGTATGAGGTCAGTCTGGAGAAGCCACAGATATATTTTTTAGTGACAACCCTTCATGAATCCAACAGAAGGGTTTTAAAGATGTGTGTAAACGTGACTGACTAAGCTTTGAACCTTGTTAAAATTCACACTGATGTAAATATAATCTGTATGAGATGTTTAATCCCTGACATCGGTCACTGCCTGCGCTGTGATGAAGATGAAACAGCAGCCCACAGACCTGAAACTCACAGTTAAAATAAGAGCAGCTGTCCTCAGAGCAGCAGGAAACCACAGATAAGGAGACGGGAGGCTAAAAATACTGCAGGGCTGAGAGAGGAAGCTGATGAGGCTGACAGATGTTCTTCTTCTTTTTCTTTTTTTCTGCCTGTCCCGTTTGGCTCTTTTGCATCAGAATTATTGTCTAAAGGCGAAGATGCCCAACGGATTTACTTTACCAAATGGACCCTCCCAGCCTTGCCGTATTGGTCCATGTGATACATCCTTTATTGTTTATTTTATTTTAACTTGCTAAATTCAGGACAGACTTGACTGGGGAAAAGAAAAACAGCGGGAAAGAGGAACGGTCATAGAGGGCAAAAAACAAAAACCAAGTGTTTTCCCCAGGTGTTTCCTCTCTGCCCTGAATCTGTCACAACAGCCAAAAGCTGGTAGGAAAACAAGTGAAGCACTTAGCAACAAAAACACGGAGCACGTGAGCCGATTACCAACTTGGTGTAATTGACAAACTGTCATTGAAGGAGCGTCAACGTGGAGCTTAAATCTCTGAATGAGCTCCAGGTATGTGAAGCTGCTGGAGATGTGCAGCCCTGCCCAGGGGTGGAGACCAGCGAAACTCACAAACCGGGCGGAAACTTCCAGTCTCATTGCAGAATCCCTTTTGGTGTCCTTGTCTCCCGATGTTCTACGTCGTCTTCTCCCTGATGGCTGGCCGTGTGCTCCGTTTGTTAGTTTAGTTTCCTGAATTCCCAAGTTTAGCTTTGTATCTTTGGGACTCCGTCAATAAAGGTGTGTTTGTGAGTTACAGGCAGACTGTAACATTTGAGTTACTTCACACTGCCGTTTGACATTTGTTATCGACCTTATATTCTGTCACTCATACACGTTACAGGAATAGTTAGTGGAGAAAGCTTTGAAGGGAGCAGTTCTTTTGTCTCCTAATGTTTTGACCACCGCCGCTGGTCGCCCGCTAAGGACAAGAAGAGAAGAAGAAAGTTAAAGAGCAGCTGTAGCTTCGGCCCTCTTTTATCTGATGGTTATTTGTCCATAACTGACATGTTCAGTTTTCACTGGTGGTTCCAGCCGACTCTGCAGAGTAAATCATATCTAAATTATCACAGATACAACTACAGTAATACAGCCTAATAATAATATGAAGCATTATGGAGGGCTTCCTTATAAAGTAGCAAATTATTTCTTCAGGCTAAATGATGATTTAAATTTGTTACACATCATTTCTTCTCCAGCTTTCGAGTTATCGGCTTTAAAATGCTGCATCCAGAATCAGTTGTATGAAAAAGGATCAACTTTTTGGGATTAGCTAACCTGGGTGACTGCACAGGCACCAAAACATTAGCCGGTTTAGGTTAATTGGTGATTTTAAATTGTCCATAGTTGTGAATCTGAGACTAGTTCTGTCTCTCTGTGTTGCCTCTAGGACAGGTTGGTGACCTGTCCTCTTGTCCCTCTGGAGAAGAGAAATGATGTGTTAATTGAAATTGTTTATTGTTGCGTTCTTTCAGAGTGCAGTGAGTCATTAAGCTGCTTGAATGTCAATAAAAATTAGAAAAATTGTGGCGTTCTGCAGCCTTTGACAAGTAGTGATTATATAAACATAATTACATCATATGTGTGTGTGTGGACCACATCACATCAGGAGAACACAGCATGAACTGTTCCCACAGTATTGACCATCCTGCTGACCTCTGACCTTGTGACAGATACTCACCATCACACCTCAGCTTCATTATTATGAATGATTGAAATTGCTGTTTGTTTTAATCTTGTACAGCACTTGTGTTATTTGAAGGTGCAAAGTAAAAAGAATAGCAGGAAGAAACCTCCAGCAGCACCAGGCTCAGCGAGGGAGGGCCATGTGAGAGCAGTTTGGGCGAGGGGAGGAAGATGCGACAGAGACGCGCTGTGGAAGAGAGATTAATAATAATAACTAAAACGTAAATGCAGAGAGGTGTATGAACACATAGTGAGTTTGTGTTCCACAGAGTGAATGGGTTCAATGCAGAGGGATCAATAAAGTATACATTATTAAGAACATACATCATGGGTTGCATTGAGTGTGCATCCCATGCAGCAGCCCCACCCCCCATAGCCAGTCAGAAAAAGGTTTGAAGAGGTTGCAAATAGCAGGAAACAGTCAGACGTGTGCAGGAAACACAGTGTTGTTTTAGGTGAGTAGGTGAGGGTGCAGAACACATGAATGTACTGAAGGATAAGCTGCTTTACGCCCACACACACCG